GACCAGAAGAAAAGCAAACTCAACAGGCAACGACACGAAAGATTATCGTGCAAAAAGCGTGCCTCATTCTTCATCTCGCTGACAGATGAAAATACTTCCTCAAAAAGTATCGAGTTTTCATTGGATGGATTCATGATTGGATGATATTTTTAGGAAACATTAGTTCAGCTTTTCAGTTCTGACTTGGAGATGAACATGCAAGGTTTTGTATTCGTATTTCTTGTGGTTGCTGCCTTCAGCTTGTCGTCCCCTTGCCATGGGTTTTGCGGTAAGATTATGCAAAATTGTTGGAATCACTAACATGAATTGAGCCTTGATGAAGGCGTCATGCATGTACTACCCTATCACCTATCACTGGTCAAGCAATGACGCAGCGCACTTTAAACTGCACTAGTCATGTCTATCTTGTCTTTGAAACATGCCGATCACTTTTTTTATTAAAAGGAATGGAGCCCTTCCATCGCTGTTTTATATCGAAATCAAAATCCTTGTGAAGTTGTATCACAAGATTCGTGACCTTTCCAATGTAAAGTTTCCGATATGCAAGCGAGCAAGTCTATATCCGCGTCTCACTGATAGTTTCACTAATTTGAATTGACCATTGATTAAGGCGTCATGAACTACCCTATCACTTTTTTTTTTGAATTATGGTTGTTCTTAATTTTCTGAAAATCAATGGACACATGTTTTCTTAAAAACCATCSGACCACAATTTTACTGTCTCTCCCTCCAAAAATAATTCTAACTCCCTAATAGCATCACATTTTTCTTTTCATTCAGGAGATAGAAAGCTAAATGGTGATCTTGCACGTGCAGCCGCTCAAGGCAACGAATTTATTCGTTCAAWACTTGCTGACAAAAAAGCTATGACATTTGACTACATCCGTGCCGCAGCTTTTAGCACTCTTCGTTTGGGGGGCTTTACAATTGATATGCTCTCTAGTCTGGGTATGGCAGACCTCGGTARAGACATAAAGAAGCTAGGGCTTAACAACATCACAACTGGACGGATTGCTTACTATGTACAAGGGGTTCAGGCCATCTGTAARGATCCCAAGTCTTTSAATGGTTATGACTTAATAAAGCGTCTAACGGATGGAATAAAAGAGTACTCTGTAGCCGGGTTTAACCACCCTTTCGCTTACAGTCTTGTTGTTTTGKCATTGTGTGACAGTGGTCATGCATCGCAATCGTATCATAATTACACTCTGATGATAAGGAGTATGATTCAAAAACRTCTCCGTAATCATCCGACACACGGCGGTRATACGCTTTCCTTGGCCACAATGGCGCTGACATGTATGTACAACAAACAGCCTCAACCCAAGCCGTGCTACTGGTGGTGCGACGATAGAAGGAAAAGCCTGAGAAACGTGCTAAARAGAACCATTAGGTACGCGGCATCTGCGTTGAAAAGAAGCCAGAAAAGTGATGGTAGATTTGGTAACAGCATAACCACTGCATTGGTTTCACAGGTATGCACCATATGATAGGATGATATCGATGTTTGGCTGGTTTAGTTCAGTAGACTTGAGGTAGCTGGAAGCTGCAAAGCCGAAGGCTGCACTCAGGCAACACGTATTTTACAAGAATA